ATAATAATAACAGCTTCATTCCAAACAGTATTGGGAGAGAGGAAAGAGGAAGACTGGATTTCTCAGATGATATATGTCTAACGTCACGTAAACTCAAAGACTTGCTGGCGGAAAACAACAAACTGACTGAAGTGGCAGGCTGCGAAGACAAGACTGCAGGTGAACATAGAGAAGACATCATCAACAATAACCAGCATCAATCACCATCAACGGAAGAGATTTAACAGAGGTGACCTCCTTCACTTATTTAGGAGGCATACTTTCAGCTACAGGCAGTCGGAACGGATGAAGATGTTAAAGTCAGAAATGGAAAGGCAAGGTAGGCCATCATCAACCTGAAACCAAATTGGAAATCTTCTGCAACCAACACAGCGAAAGATATTCGGATTTTCAACGCTGATATGAAGTCGGAAAATCGGCCAGCATGTCACGAAAAGGATTTCCAACAGGCTATTGCAGGCTTTCATCAATAACTATTGTCGCTAGCTGTATACTGAAGGCCGAATGGCCAGAACAATAAGTAATAAAAAATTGTGGGGACAAATCAAACAAGAGTCGCTCGCTCAACAAATATGTTGGAGGAAATGCAGATGGATCGGGCATACATTGAGGAGATCATCAAGTGAAATGGCGCACCAAACCTTGGAGTGGAATCCCAATCAGAAGCAACGAGTGGGTCATTGGTATGAGGGTAAAATAGAGTACATTGTGTGAGGAAGAGATGAGAGACTGTGGGTAGCTATAGTCCATGCTGAAGGGGACGGCAGAAGATAGGGCACAGTGGAGATGTATTGTTGAAGCCCTATGTTCCACTCAGAACTCAAGGGAATAATAAGAACAGTGCAGTATTGCATCTACTTATCTCATTACAATGGTAATAATTAAGACAGAACATTCACACTGATAAGACTGTCCAATAAGAATATGAAATTAGATTAAGTGGAAATGTTGAAACTTACTTAGTGGCATGCAGTTAGTTGGTAGTGTCCTACCTAATACTTTTCTCATCGCATAAAATATTTGCCAAATAAGGCATGGTAGGTTCTTTTACTTAGTCGTCTAACCATAAAGTATCTTATAATTGCTTCTAGTGCTAACTGATTAGATTCGAATAGAGTGTTCTTTATGAAGAGGATGTACAGAGTCTGGCAAGATGTTATCTGTCGATTTCTTGCATGAGCTCAAGTGCCTTCTTACAACTATAATAATAACCTTGTTGATAGGTATTCCACTCGCTCTACTAACAACTTTAGTGCCCTTCGCAGTGTAACAAAATCTTATTTAAGTAGTCCAATAAAGATTATATTTGGTCTTCCGATATTCATGAACGTATGTGTAAGTTTCGTCTTTGGAAAAGGTTTTTCATATGAGTTACACATCACTTTTTTCATTCCTTTTCACTCTGAGTGGAAAATGAGGCTTCAAGCTCTAAGGTTTGAAGTTTCACTAGAGGCAGTTTTTCTTTTTACGGGGTAAGGATTCTATCCAAATGCGCAACCTTCCCTCTTTACCGTGCTTGCGACCGGTTATATGAAAATAATGGGTGCCTTGGCTTGTAATCGAACCGCAGGACAGTTGGTGAGAGCTGTACCAGTGAACCACCGAAACTTTTTTAAGTCACACATCATTCTCACAAATAATAAGTGAAAGTTATTGGATCTACTGTAGTTTCCCTTTCAACTTCTCACAATTATGAATTAACCTTCCAACGCAGGTTCGAGTTGAAGACTGTCAGACCCAACTATGAAAACCCTAAAGTGATCAAATGGATACAGTTTTAAGACTTTCGTCTATTTATGATACTAAAACCTTTTGTCTTACGTTTCAGTGAATGTATATCTTTTCTCTGGTATTGTTCGTCTCGCGTTACTATTATTACTGTTATTAGTATTATTATTATTCAAGTGATAAATTATCCTCCAAGATAACTGTAATTCATTTTAGGTTATTCCACTCTCTTGAAAAACAATAAATCAAGTCATTAGCTATTAGCTATAAAGGTTTGTGTGTCCATTATACCCTTTCATAGCCCTGTTAAGTGATATATATATATATATATATATATATATATACCAACTAAGATGAAAAGTGAATTATTTTTGATTAGCAGTGTTGACAATGCTAAAAGAATATTTTGTCGAATACCAATAATACTTCAATACTGAAAACAAATGACTAAATTTAGTCTAAATAATAGAATACATGTCAACTGCACTAGTATCTAAATTACGTATATGTGAATGTTGATTCTTTTTCATGTAAATTAATTCTGAAGTCCAGTTTCTGTTGTTGATAAAGGCTTAAATATATACAAAGCATGTAAAATTGTTGATATTTCCTATGACTATTTAATTCAATTTTAGATTTCCCCATCCATTGATTGGACCGAAATGCTCGACCTCAGGTTGACATGTCGACTTCTTGTGCGCATACTTCAACGATGTCTGGGCATGTTATTAGAAGTTAACCCAAGTGGTCTAGTGGATAACGCTCTGGCGTTTGAAACTATGGGCACTGGGTTCGATTTTCGATGGAAACATCATCACTCACTTTGGAATCCAGGTATATCCAGTGACGAGTCTCAAATAAGACGAAATGCGCATTCTGGATTCCACTGCTAGTCACCATCTACGAGTTTATTTCCTATCACTGCTAAAACGATAGTAGTCCAATGCTAAAGTCATGGTTTCAGGGTAGATGATGGTGGTTGGTAAATCAAATGTTAAGTGTACAGTGCCTTATTTAAATAAGACAATATTTCACAAATGTTAAATTCAAACATAAGCTGCTAGAAACAAATAGACTCAGTAATCACTTTTCTGGATTCAAGTGCAGGAAAATGACATTATTCATTATTATTATTTGTTACATAAAATGCGACGGGAACATAGAGCTTTAACAGCACATCTCCGCTTCACTTGGTTAACTTCCACCAGTACAAACTGGATCCAGGATTGACTAACTAACCTTGAATTTCCTCATAACACGGTCTTTTCCATGTTATGAACGCAGCCACGCCGAAATTTCCCTTCCCTTTCGGGCTCCTCAAGAGGGTGATTTAACTTGAACCCCTCCTCACTGTGCGTCTAAACCGACTCAATATCCTTTCGCATATTAATCAGAAAATAGGCTGTTGGCTATTTTACTGCCACAACTCTTTTTCACTTATCCTAAATAATTAACCATCTGATTTTCAATATCGAGTAAGAACACATGTTGATGGAATTCTCTCAACCAAAAAGATGCTTTCACTGGACAATATTGTTAAAATTGAGAACTTCATTCTTTTTGTTAAGTCCTGTGGATCTCTAATTCAGACTAATGAATGCCTATCTCGCATTCCCGATCGTGTCTGTCTTCAACATTTGCATGCATGCTATCCGTAGTCGAAATGACACTGCTCAGTTCAGGCAAGTGAAACGGACAACTTTCATCAAAGATCTCCCATTGATCGTGACTGGATTTTATTATCAGTTTTAGGGTATCTTCATCACCTCTATCATGACTTTATGCGACTAAAGTTCTGTCTTTACTGCTTCTTCTGCCAGTTTGCTAGTTTTCGCTTTTAAATCCGGAAGCAAAAGACAAATTCTCAGGCATCCCATCAATAGAGAGAGAGGGACTTTCAAGCTAACAAACTAAATTAGGGGAAATTTTTGTGGGCCTATGAATTTTACTGACCAAACTAGACAAAGTTATATGATTTGCCAAATACCAAGTAATGACTGTGAGTCAAGGCAGTCAGACTAGTTGGTTGAGGTCATTTAGATTACCAGTACATAAAAGTTTAACAGAAAAAAAGTAGCCTGTTAAAATTTCGCCTAATGCATACGACTAAATACCAAAATGGAAGTAAGTAAAAGTATAATAGAAAGACTGGTCAATTCACGAGTGTCTATAGTGGGAACGATGATAAACTGGTCCTAGGAGGAAGCAGAATTATAATAACCTACTGAAGGATTCATGTGAATATATTCATATGAATGCTGAGCAATCAATTCTGATCAAAACACCATCCAGCTATTAGTAGTGCTCCACTTTGTGTTACATCAAAGAAGCCTGTCTAACATGGAATTGCATAGAGGATTTCATCATGAGCTGACATCAGTTAGAGAACTACTGGAAAGCCGTGACCAGTAGGGTACAGCAGGTTGAAGATGAGGCAGTAACTCATCGAAGAAGACGTTGCAAAACGGTCGCACTATGTCGTGAATTGGCAGAAGTTAGAATTCAAGAACCATTGGGTTGGGTCCCAGTGGCTCAGTGGTCTACGAGCTCACCTTGTCACCAGAAGGTCCTTGGTTCGAACCCCGGTGGGTGCATACTGCTGAAGTCTCCCAAACTAGGACGAAACAGCTGTCTAGTGCTCCTAGGTTTTCCAATGGTTCTCTAAATGATGTCAGCTCATAATGAAATCCCCGATGCGATCAAACAAAATCCCTACAAAACCAATAGATGATAATACGGAATTATATTTTGCCATAGTGCTCAATTTCCTTTTTTATTTTCATTTTAAATGATATTCCCGTGTAGCGAATTTTTCCAACGGTTTAATATCTCAGCAGTAAACATTAAATCTCAAACAAGTTTTTTTATAGTCCCTTGGCCAAATGAAAAGTCTCCGGACAACTTTTTGTTCGTATTGCGGTATATTTAAGTACGTCAAACTGAAGTATGCTCTTGAGATATTGTCTAGTAAAACAATAAAAGGCTTCACAGCTAAACAGTCCAGCTGGGAGAACAGAACTACACCAGAATCATGCATCCTATTCAAGACACTATATTTGATCCCACTGGACACTATCATCTCTCATGATTAATAAATTATCACCCAACCAGTGAGTTCGAATGCAAGTAGATATTATTTTTACCACCTGAACCTTCAGAATATTCAACAATATCTTCATATCTACCATTGATCATACCAGTCATAACCAAAAAGCACTTTAGAGTTAGACAGTACCAACTGAAATTAGTAGAAAAAAATAATAACGTCTCACCTTAAAAAATCCTTTACACCCTTCACATGTTCTTACACCATAATGTTGACAGGCTGCATTATCTCCACAAACTAAACACAACTGATGACATTCCGCTTCACCAACTGGTACTGGATGGATATCATTTAGATTATAATTAGTAATTTTAGACAATTTTGAATTATTATTATTATTTGGACTAATTGATATTGTTGGCGGTGTAGATGTTGTTGATAAAGACAAGGAAGGAGAGGATAAAATTGGTGTGGAACTATTATTATTATTGTTAATACTAGTGTTATGATTGTTACCTGTCAGAAAAGAAGATGAGGAATGTGTTGATGATAATATTGATGGACTTAAGCGTGTTCCTTGTGCTATATTATAACCACTATTTCTTTCTTCTAATTGATCAATCACAGTAAAACAATTATATGAATTAAGATATAATTCTGAACTATGTAATATTGTATTTGACTTATTGATCATTGAATCATTTGTTAAAATGGATTCATTGAAATATTGAATGGGTTGAGTGTTACTGTTATTATGATTGTTACCAATAATAGATGCTTCAAGGTGTGATTGATGTTTATTTGCTTCTGGTGTATTATTATTCACGCTGTTATTATTATTATTATTATTAATTGTGTACTTGTGATGTAACTTTTTATAGGATGAATTATGCGTGGATGTTTTAGTGTCACATTCAGAAGTATCTGTTAATGAAGGATACGCTTTACAGTCTAGAGTATTATGTGTGTTGAATTTTATGTGTGATAAGTGATCAAACCTATTTATGCATAAATCACTATTGAAATTGCTATTGTTATTATTACTAGTATTATGCTCACTGGGAAACTGAATTCGTGCACTCTGTACAGTCTGATTATTTGGCGTAGAAGGGATTTGATGATCTAGGCTTGTATTTTGATGTAACAATCCACTGTCATTTGAACGTGTCACATTCACCGTGAAATCAGTATACTGATTAGTACTGGTAGAAAATTTTGTAAACTCTTTATCCACATGAAAATATCTTGCTAGTAATGCTTGTTGTGCAGCTAAATAGGATGAATCCATTTTTAATTTTTCGCTACTATCAGATTGTACTGTTGAAGGGAATATAGATGATGAAAAATAACTTAACGGATCTAAGCTGAAAGAGTCGAGCACGCTGTCATTTGAACATTTCGATGATGCGAATACATCAGGTTGATTATATACGTTACTTAATGATGAAGAATTCCGTGAATAGTCATCATTAGAACATGATGGATAAGTATGCGAAGTTGAATCAATACAACAATCAAATGATATTGGATTAGAACATTCAATATTATTAAAATTCAATTGTTCTGGAGATGAGAATAGACGATAATCTCGGTTACATTCTATTGTGTCTAATTTAGACTCACAGTCAACATAGCTGGAAGTTTTTGGTGTAGATGTGTCCCAATTATTTGAAGTAATATTTTTATGAGATGTATACGGTGTTAAATGATTGATACTTGATGTTTCAATAGAGTTCATTACTTCTACAGGATTAAAATTTGTCGGTGTACAACATGAATACTCATTCTGATTATATTCAACCTTTTTATTCAAATCTATATTTGATAGACAACACGGTAGAGAACATTTGATCTTCTCTTCAATGTCTTTTATAAACAAACGATCATGTTGACTGATTTGATCATCAAATAAAAAATCTGATTCTGTTATAGGCTGAAATCGAGAATTCAGTGAACATTGTTTTACAGCGAAATCATGATTTTGACTTCGACTAAAATTATGATGATCTAACTGTATTTCATTAGACTTAACTGTCTCTTGACAATGTTCATCTGTTAGCCGGGAATTATCATTTTCACACTTTGGATGACCATGACTTATTGTATACGGTCTTGTTCGATGATTTCTTGTAGGACTAGTTGAAGTGACATCATCAATTCTTTGTTTTAAATACGAATGATGATTTAGTGTAGGAGATAAATTCATCAGGGGTAAATTGTTATTGCCACTGTCGAATGATTCACAGTTTAAACCCTTCACAGACTCTTCCTTACTAATACAAGACGATGTGTTGCTTGATACAGCGGTTGTGTAATTATCATAAGTTATGAGGGATGATTGAATATAACTAAGTGGTGACATTTTTTCGCTTTCTTCACTTTTATTCGTATAAGTATCAATGATATGCTTCTTTACTATATCTTCTGCTGACATTTGAACACCAGTTATACTCACTGACCCAGTATAGCTGTCAGCATATTCATTAATGTTCCGTTTTGAAAATGATCTTTTATTTGTTGTCATATTTCTAAATTTTTCTATAGGCGTTTGAAAATGAAAAGTTTCTTCACGAATGAAGCAATGTTTACTACCAGTATCATTAAAAGACGACCTAATTTTTTCATATTTATTAATTTCTAAAGTATTGGATTCCTCTTGAGAATCCTTATGAACATTTTTTGAAATGTGTGATTCATTAATACAATCTGAAGAAAGTATTGGCAGACAATGATTGTAGGTGGCTGGTGTTGAACTACAAAAGTTATCCGATTCAGGCATATTATTCACAGATGGACACCATTTAGAAGAGTTCAGTGTTTTAATTTTATTTACATCAGAATTTGTAAAAGATGTGAGTATGTTTAGAGTTGATGAGAAATTTTCACAATCTGGGGGATCATAAGATTCAAAGCATTCGGGATCAATATGACTAAGTGGATAAGGATCTTCATTGTTTAGTTTATTCACTAGTTCACTTAAGTTTTTAGATATGGTGGAAGGGACTAAAGGTGGTTTAATCTCAGATTCTGATGAATATATAGACTTAGAACAGTTTTGTTCTATACTGTTATCATCGCATATATGATTACTGAAGACTGACAGATTTGTTGAATTCTCATTTTCATAAATTTCTGACTTGTTCGTCATTCTTAATGACCACTCAGGAAATAGACTGGAAGTTGACATATCTGAGGCAATAAATGGTCTTACAGAATTATAATAACTGTTATGAGATGTCGAAGGTGTATGCACAATGAAATTACTTTCACATGAATGTGTCATTAACCCAGAATCGCATGTTTCATGCAATGATTGGAATGTTACAGGGATAGCCATTTAATTATCACACCCACACCTGGAAAAACAAAATAAATAATTATTATAAATATATCATGAGTAACACTGTTTGAACATCAAAATTGTAAAGGTTTGTGAGTAATGACTGTGCGGTGGACTACTTAACTCAACCCATTAGACTAAGTTTAGTTGGATTATTCGGATATATGAATTTAGCCAACTGTAGAGTGACTGACCCCTAAGAATACAAATGACTTACAGATAAAGTAAGCAGTCGGAATGCATGCATTAATACATCCTACATTAAGGTGGGACAGAGATACCGTTCTAAAAAGAAGTACAGTTATGTGAAGGAGAAGGTTACTCACTAAATCAAACGTACTAGCACGTAAAATGGGAATGACAGCACCAGCACCATCTGTTACGAACGGGCTGTTTCTAATTGAACGAAAGCATGAAAAATAATCAAATAGACAAAATTTGAATGTTATGTGAGCAAGTCATCGGAAATGATTATTAGCCACAAAATGGTCTGGAAATATCGTCGCTAAATACACTTGTGTCTCCATGTGTTTTATTGATGTAAATTTAGTCATTAATTGACAATGGATAGAGAACTATTCAAATTCGCTGAGTTATAGATAGCTGTATTTCCATAGTCTAGTATCAGTCAGCAGTGTCCACTTGTGACGTTGACGGAAGCCAAACTCACGAACCTGACGTTTCTGAGGATTGCGTTGGCAAGTCAGCCAATGAAACAGAAATGAGTTATACATTAATGATACTTTTTGCTGTGTAACGGTATATCTCCACCTGCAACACATGCTATCGATGAGCTCTTCCTTTATATGCTACACAGTAAACCCTCCTGATTATGATCAGTCCATGGCAAAATATACGGTGAAACCAGTCAAAATCCCAACAGATTTCCAACTTTAATGTACGGGTTAATCGTGCAGCAGAAGTGTGATAAATCCCTTTTCAGTCTATTGTCATGAACTGCCATATCTCTGAAATAAAATTACAAGAAAAGAATGCCTTATCGAAAGATCAGGGTTAACGCCTAAGACAAAGTTGAAGCTAGAAATCATCAGCCGGCCAGTAAATTGACTTCATAGTTTGGAGTTTTAAAATCGGTTCTAGGTGGCCCAGTAATAATAACCCGGCACTTCATTGCAGAACAATCACGAAAGTGCATTATCCTTGTCAGCTTTGAAAATAGGCAAAGATTCTGCAGACAGATGTCCTCAAGATTCAGTTTCATTACAAAAATAAAACAAGTTTATCATTTAGTTTGAACCCAAATTGTTTAATGTGAGGCTACAGGTACCACAGTATTATTATGCTATTATTTGTTTTTGGGGTTCCAAGGGGGAAGTAGAGCCTTATCAACTCATTTCAATAACCCTTGGTTGTCTGCTGTCACTTCCAACTGGATCTACAATGGAACACAAACTTCTATTTCCTCCTCATACGATATTCTTTATATCACTCTGCGAAGCCCCACTCGTCGATTCCTATTCGTGTTCCGCTTGGCAGCCTGCATAGCGTTTAAGTGTCACTTCAACATGTTTCCAGTCCATCTCCATTTGCTTATGAATATTTGCTTAGTAATTCAGTGTTGGTTGATTCGCTGAATTGCCAGAGTGTATTGTTATGTATGCTTTCTGGCTGGCCACGTGATCTGTGGTATTAGGCCAGGTGTCGGTGAAAGTTCGAAGCTTGTTTGAAATGCTTGTGTTTGATTGATCACTGAAAAGTAACTAACACGATTTGTCTAGACCTGACTGTTAAGTTAATCCCATATTTCAAATTAACAGTATAGTTACTACTACAATCCAACGCGACATCCATCCTGGCCAAAATATCCCAAATAAACTGCTCTCATTGTGGCAATGAGTGACACCATTTTGAATCTCCTAAGAGATAACAGTTCCATCACGGTTTGAACTTCACCAAGTTGATGAATACCATAAAAACTGAGTACAAGGCTTCCTAGCTTTTCGCTCCAGGCTGCAGTTGCCTGAGTCTTTAGAAATGAAATGCAGTCCATTGACATCACTGAGATATCTATTTTCAGAAATAATTATATATATACATTTTTTCACTCACTGATTTTATTCCACGTGAAGGTTCATTGAGCATGTATACTTTTAATATGATGGCAATAATTGGAACAATGTAATACTGAGGTAATGTATACGTGTGGGATTTTCTGCTTACTGAGAACAATGATCTTGTTCAAAATTATTAGACGAATGTCAAAACATTAACTGATATGATCTAATTTTTGCTTTCACCATTCTACGCCGACAGAGACAAGTTCCCCAGAGGTTACGAATAATTCATCCTGAAAAGTTCCACTTAACCCGAAACGTAAATCAGTGGCTTCCTATATACTGCTGCTAATCATCTTAAACTTGCTTAAAACTTTATATTAATTAGGCTTGCATTAATCACATCTCAGCATGAATGCCCAACTTGTCGACCTGCGTCATCTTTAGCAGTGCCATGACATCCTTCTGTTCATTGGAGAGTATGTTTACTGGCCAGTACTGCTCTCTGTCCTACTCAACGCGCGTGAAACATACACCCTAAATGTAGATCCTATGCAAATATTAAAATTTTGTAGTCGTGGGTACCTTTTCCCATTTGCTGACATTATGTAGGGTAAAGGTTTAATTACAAACGCAGGTACTTATAAAGCGGGATTTAAGAAAGAAAGTAGTCTACGAAATCGTGAAATCTCGTCAATTCAGACGGCCAAGAAACCTGTTACCCAATTTTCTTATTCCTTTACGTTGGGCTTCAACCTAGAGGCTTGAATTTTTCGTAGTAGGGGTGTTTATTTTTATCAAATGGGGTTCCTAGCCTCATGCCCAACCTTCCCTCTTCAGCAGTCTTATTACTGGTATGGCAAGGTAAAGCAGTTCTTCAGTTGTCGACCGAAGCCCGGACCACATACGTGGTCGGTGAGTATTCTACCGCCGTGCCACGGACGCACCTGTTACCCAATAGGATCTTCTTAGTTTCTGCAGCAGTAGTGTTACATGAAGAAGGAAGGAAGGAAGAAGAAGGTTAGAACCTGAAATGAAGCCAATCCATGAGGTCATTAGTCTTCAGGCATGGAACCGGTGTTATGTATTTCGACCATAGCGTTGATACTGACTAAGTTCTATCAGTGAATTTTATGAAGTGGTCACCAAATCGAATGTTTTTCCGCCGCGAGGAATTCGTATTAAGTGAATGGCAGCCATAGGCAGAAATCTCAACGACTTTTCAACTTTCGTCAACAAGGTATATCTGCAACCTATAAGGTGTTGACGCTTCCTCGTGTATTTCTAATCTGCGGTTTTCTGACAGAAGCTAAAATGCACTAAGATTCGATATGGGGCCTTCTGAGATTATCTACAGCCACTTTTTTTACAGAGGAATAAGTGTTATGATCACCTATTTTAAACAACTGAATGATAAAATCAATTTGGGTATTATGCATTATAAGCCAATTTCTTCTCAGAGTCTTTAGAGTCTCAATAGCCCATATAATATTGATAGCAGATTTCAGGCGGTTTTTCTAATTTATTGAAGATACTCCTAACTATTAGATTGTCTCATACTTTGAAGGGGTTGCTGAAACACCGAAGTAGCCCTTTCTATGAGTTTTTCAAAGTAATTTGAAATGAATGACTGAAGAAATGAATACTTATCAGTTCTTGCCTGCTTGAGTTGCAATAACATTTGACGTTATAATAACACAGTTGGTAGGATTCCACATTCTTTGTACCGATTGCTATCTTTATCAAGTATCTTCGACTAATTTTCTTACGACTTGCGTAATTTTATGATTTATAATCCTCAGTATCTTGTACATACCCTTGCTCCCTTTAAATATATATATATATCCAACAATTTCCTGCATTCTACTAAACTTAACATTTTTCATTCACCTATACGAAATCATACACTAAACTATATTGAAATTGAAATAGAACTATAAGTTCTGATTATTCGAGTTAAGAGTAGTTGATGAGGGATAAACCGGTGGAATAAAGTCGACCCACTTAGTCCTGATTCATGGTTGTTGTTATTTTGTTCAAATGTGTTTAGGAGAAATGGTGTATGGTAGGGAAAACAATACTATGTATTCACACGTATTGCTTTAATTTTCGACTTTTAAATCTGTCAAACCACAGTGGTGTATATGCTAGGAGATGTCACTGTTTAAGCTCAACAAACTTTAACTTAAAAGAGCTGTGATTCAGATCTACACATACAAGAGGGATGATCCCAGATTTCTATAGCTCAATATAAATTTTTTCCTGCTCTTTTTGCCTTCTTAATAGAACATAGGGCTTCATATGTGAGCTTTGAATTCTTGAGTAGTGGTTGTGTCTTTTTCTATAAGCGATGGGTTTGCTGACCTCACTTTAAACCTTCCATCCTTACCAGGATTACTAAAAGCTAAGTGAGGCCTGGGAGACCATCAGATGGAGGTCAAACTTGGACAACGTGAGTGGTTGATGGACAATTTGCCATCAAACCACAGCTTCATGGAAATAATTGGGGTCAAGTTTGCTTTTTTTTCTGGTGATACGTACGATTGGACTGATCCCCAAGAGTATGGTCTCTTAATTTAATGTGATAATAATATTCACTATAGATTTCGTCACTTTTGAACTGAAACCATAAACCCGAATCAACAGCATAAAGTAGATATTGTGTTCTTTTGTAAGGGTGTTTGTTCCCAAATAGCCATTCACAGTTTCATTAGGTGTGAAAATCTAGAAGCATCAGATTGCATAACCAGCCCATTTACATCCAACTGCTACTTCACAGTAAAATGTTTTGAGCTGGCATATATACATGATGGAAAATTATTCCCAGATATAAATATGTCGTCAGAAATGATGACACAATGTATAATAGCAAAACTGACAACCAAGAAAGCTGATTTAGTGGATAAAGTTCTCAAAAAAGTCACATTAAAATCAACAAACTTGACTGTAATATTTATTTTTAAAAGTGACAAATGACTAACTTATTTTCTTCCATATTAAT